TCTTTTTCTTTTTTTTTTAACAATATTTAGATCACATGCAATTCCTATTTGTCTCTATAACAAATCGTCAGCTAATTCTAAAACGTTCTAAAACGTGTGATCGACGGAAAACACCAAATCTCTTACGTTTCTTTTCTTCTTTTACTAACTACGTTTTTTTTTTTTTTTTTAGGTTATATCTACTCGAATAAATCAAATATGGAAAGCAGTAGCAGCAGCAGCAGCAGCTAGAAGAAGAAGCCTCGCGTCGATCTTTTTCTTTTTTCGCATTCTATTCGCGCGGAAACGTGTTTCTCAAATTATATTCATAATCGGAGACGAAAATCACGATCATCGAGTCGAACCGACAATGGCGTCCATCGCGATCCTTAGCATCACAACTTCTTCTCTCTTACTCCCTTCTCGTATTTTCTCACTGTACACACGGATATACTTTCGAAACCAACAATATTTCATTGCGAAAGCCTTAAGGCTCGTTTACAAGGACAGGCGTTTCGCGATATCTCTAAAAGCACGGTCTCGAGGCACGGTCCGCATCCACGAAGAGGAAGATCTTTTACTTAAAAAAAAATCTTTTGAAAAAAAGAGGATAAATTTTAAGAGGAAAATATGGATCGTGTAAAGCACTGATCTTTCTTCGTTCGATGCTTCGCGATTCTCGCGGTTTTTTATTCTACTATTATTTCTTCTTCTTCTTCTTCTTCTTCGTCTTCGTCTTCTTCTTGGACCTTCCAACCATTCGTAATTGGGGGGGGGTTGCATTCTTCGAGGAAGGCGTCGATCGATCGCACGAAAATCGTTCGCCGCGACGCCGGCAAAAAGCAGCCTGAATTTTTTATTTTTTTTATTTTTTTTTTTTCTTTTTATTTTTTTCAACAACACGTTCACGTGCACACGGTGCAAGCCAACGCAACAACACACTTCTAATTAATTTTTAAAGATCAATTCGCGCCCTATTTTTTTTTTTCTTTTTTTTCTTTATACATCGAACGAATTGTACTTGCGCCCTTTCGACCCTCACTACCCTTGAAGAAAGGCTCGCCCTCGCTTCCAGTCTTCCCTCTCTCGTCTTTCCGTTTCTTCGTTAAACAGCTTAAACATCGATAATTAAACACTCGTAATAATGTTCTCGTTGAGTCTTTCAAGAGATATAATTCGATTGTGTTCCCGATTGGACTTTCAACGTTCCTGCGTGTCATCGCGTATTATTTTCCAGTGAATTTCCTTTTTTTTGTTTTTTCTTCTTTTCTTTACGAATTTCTCTTTTTTTCGTCTATTTTTTTTTTTTTTTTTAATACTTTTTTTTTCTTTTAAGTTTTCTTTTAAGAGAAGATATATATTTTTTTTCTTTTTTTTTCTCTTTGTTTCGTTGCTAGAACAGAAGTAATGTCGATTTTATACGTTATATCGAACGAGTTTCTCGCGTGCGAGGTTTTTCTTTCTTTCTTTTTTTTTTTTTTTTTTTAATCCTAGATCGGAGAAACACTACAGAAACTTTTTTTTTTTTCATTTTACGTAAATCCGAATTGCTGTCTGATCGAAAGCTATAAAGTTACGATTCATATTATAATTTATTTAATTTTTTTTTCCTCTCTCTCTCTCATTTTTGCCTTTTAATTTAAACGCGCTAATGGACGTGTTGCAGATACGCTAGTATTCCAACGATATTATCGAAAAGAAAGATCGGACTGGAAGCCGCTAATATTCCTAAAAACCTTAACCGAAAAAATCATTACGAACCGACGGATACTCGCATCAGTAACTACTAAGGGATCGTTTTGTCAGACAAGAAATATCAAGGATATCTCGTATGATTCGTGGATGTGTGGATTGTTTATGTATATATATATATATATGACTCGTGTAAGACGTCGTATTTCCTATTTTCAGATCTGCGTGACGTGGGTTTTTAATAATCCGTTTGCTTATCGAGACTCTTAGAAAATATAAAAAATTTCCATTTCGCTATAGGCGTCAATTGGACACCGTTACACATCCTCATATCGATTTAATTTACGTCGGATGATTATGTCTAGAAAAAGTACAGTATACAATAGCTATGATTTAAAAATCGGTTGGCTTAAGCGTCGCAACGCTATTCGTACTTATAATCGCAGGAACAGATAATTTTGTTAAAATAATCGAGCAGACGTGCGTTAATAACGTGTTTTTCATACGAACAGCTTCGATTCGACACGAGAAAACATAGTTCGAAAGAAACTCCAGCTACTATCCGGCATTCGTTTGCAAATCACTTTCGAACACGGTCTCGAGTAAACGAAAATGCACGCGCTCGTTTTGTACTTCGAATATAGATTCTTTTATGCCGAAGTAGAAGCACGAGTATCCTCGAGAATAGACATCACCAGTGGTTTGCAAATATATATATATATATTTCATCTAGTATTTATAAACAAAAAGCATTTTACTAGTCAGCGATTAATAAATTCGAGCAACCAATAATACTCGAATAAAATCGTTCCTCGCGAAACTCGAAAACGTGGAAAATCGGCTCGTTCCATTATTCGATATCGATTCTTCGGCTTCTCTTCTCGCTTTATAAAAGATCTTGGACAAGCAAAATTAGAGCAAGAGCACCGATTATCTCAGCCAATGAAATAAAATTTCTTCAACAACGTTATCAAACGAAAAATAAGAAATATATCGAAGCACGAACACATCCTCAAAGTGGTGTTAGAATTCATCATCAAATTTTCACGAAGATATGAAAATACTTGTTTGATATCATGTGATGGTGCCATTCAAATTTAATGAAATTTATATCGCGAAGATATCTCTGTGATCTGATCAACTGTCGATACGATCATTCAACGGCGAACGAACGATACGTTTGACAAGAATTCACTTTTCGAATGAAACGACGCTAACAGATAGATGAAAGGAGGCGGAAGATGTAATGGAATCGTGATCTCCACGCTCGAGTTTCGAGGAAATCTTTCGCTTAACGAGCAATGTAATGCGAAAATTTCGTTACCGATCGTTTTCTTCCCTCTTCTGATTCTCTTCTCAAAGAAAAAAAAAACGTGCCAGCGATCGGTCGAGATACGAGTGCGGAAACGGTGTGAAAACGATCGTTGTGAAAAATTTGGCTAAAATTTCACGCAGCAATGATCACACAAATTTCGCGTGTTGAAAGTATTGGAACGTAATCGTTCTAAAGAAACGCTTCGTATTCTCTAGTTCTATAATAATACATAAGTTTGTAGCTAAAATTTTCTAAATTATTTTTTAGAAAAATTCATTACGTTACGTTTCGTGTTTTATTTATTTTTTTTTTTAATTTTTATTTTTTTTGTCTTTTTTACTTTTGACGTTTAATTATATTGGCCGTGCGCAAGGCTATTTTTGCAAAGAGAGCGGCGTGCTCGAGAACTCGTTCGTTCTACTTAAGAAACAACGTTGATGCGTGCCTCTAAAAAAAATCCAATATACACGAACGATCGGAACACGATCGGTGTTGTCACGATTGCACTCGAGTAAAAATCGGGCCTTCTTGCGCGATTAAAGTAACGTTATATCGATGAGAAAATTTACAAATTGATCAGAGTTGTCGAAATTAATCGAACTCTAATTGAATAGGAGGAAATTTCAACGGGAAAATTTTATAAATTTCAAGTCATTTCAACATCGACGTAAAATTATAAAATTTTTTAAAAAGATCGCAACCTATAACTCGTAACTTGTCAATTCACTAATATTATCCTTTTGCACGAGGGCGCTAGTGCAATTTGATTGTGTTTCTATGTGTACACGCGTGTATGAATGAGTATGTGTATGAAGTGTATATATATATATGTGTGTGTGTGTGTGTATCGAATCAATTATATCATAAATATTTTTCGTATTTTTAGTTGCAGCAAGTTCGTAGTGCGTAGTCAAAAGCGTTCACGCTTGATCACGAGGAGCGGAAGTGAATCTTAGATCCGTAAAAACAATAATGAAATCCGACAAATATTTTTTTCAACCATCAGTTGACGACACTGTCACATTCACGAAAAGATCGGAAACGGAAAGGACTCATCTTTTTTTAAAGGCTTCTTACAATATTTACACGATATCTATTGATTCTATGGTAATATAGTATCATTTTTCTCGCTTCACTTGTTCACTTCTTTCACTCTAATTTCTTTCATTTTCTCTTTCATTCTTTTTTTTTCTTCTTTTTTTTCATTCTTTCTTTCACTCGTTAATCTCGATCGGAATTTTTGTCGAACGACAAATGTGGAAGTGTTCATACTGCGTACATACGTTATATATATATATATATATAATTTTTTTTTTATATATATATCATTATTTTTATATATGTATACTATATACACAAAATGTGTTTCCGTGTATCGTATGTCCTATATGTATGTGTACGTCTGTATGTGTATGTGTAACGTGTGCATACCTGTATTCGTTTCACCAAATAGACTCTAATAAAACGTATAAACACGTCAACCTAGCGCGGCGATCATCAACGCGCCATCGAAAATCGAAAACTTTCAATCGTGTGTACGATAATTGATTATCTGATTCCCAACCCATCGCCACGCATCTTTATTCGATTCGTTTTCTATTTTCTTTTCTTTTTCTTTTTCTTTTTCTTTTTTTTTTCTCTCTTTGTTTCTCTCATCATTCACGCGAAATCGTGAAATTTTTTTCGAATCTCGCGACAAACGCGCCACGAAATTTCTATATAATAAATCTCTATATATATATATAATAATAAGAATTTAATCATGCGATCGATCCTAAGGTAATCGGCTAGAATGATTCTCGATCTTTATATTCTTTTTATCCTCTCTCTCACACCATTTCTCCCTAAATCGAAGCAACTATCGCTTTGTTTCCGTCGGCCGAATCGAAATAATTCTACGCGAAAAATTTCTTGTTTCTCTTTTCCGATTTTCTTCTCTCTTTCTTCTTTTCTCTTTTCCGATCTCGTTAATCGTCCAAATCGTCTATTTATCGTCTATTATCTAATTTGATGAGCGAACATCTCGTGGCGTTTCTTTTTTTTTTTTTTTTTTTTTTTTAACAAAGACCCGATGCCGATTCACGAGCATTTCTCTTATAAATCATCGATCTTAAAAAATCTTGTGATTCTCGTGGGGGTGGGTATAGGGGCCCAGGAGGAGTCAGCGCAAAAAATTAAGGCCCCAGGGCTCTTTTTTCCTCTCATTCTTTTTTTTTTTTTTCCCTCACACTCGTATGTAATATAATCTTAATACCTCTCTTATCACTCTCTCTCTCTGATTCTGTATATAATTTTCTTTGGTTTGTTCTCTGTGTACATACTCATCTCGTTGAGCTGGCTCCGCGAATGGGGGATTTATCCTGTGCGTACCTTCATCGACAAGGACATTCGATTATCAACCCGCCCATCGTTTTACGGAATTCCTGTTGGAAAAAATTTTCTCGTGAAAGTTTTCGTTGGCCACCATCCACCATCACCATTCTCTCTCTCTCTCTCTCTCTCTTTCTCTCTCTTTCACACAACAACTCAACTCACAAAACTCTGCATAAACTGATCTAAAGAAAATTCTGTAAAACGAGGGGGAACGGAATAAAGCCATTTTACTCGATCTCTTTCTAGAACAGGATGTGTCTACGATGTGTCTACGAGTATATAATATAATATAGAAACGATATAATTACGAAATCAATCAAGGTTTCTTTTCTTTTAATCGAGATTAAACCATTAAGAAAATAGAATCTACATATGTGTGTGTATACATGTTTGTGTGTGTGCGTGTGTCTGCCACTATAGACACGTTACTTTGTTACGATTTGATACGCCATATATCTTGCATATCATTGGAAAAAAAAAAAAAGAAAAAAAAAGAAATCACGCTAATTCACGTTAATTATCGGTTTCAGAGAAAGCTCCGCGTATAAATCGACAAATCGCAACAGTGGAAAAAAAGATAGATCTGGTGGAAAACAAGTGGGGCAAGCGTGCACGCGTATCGCTAATTGTCTCAACAATCCAACAAAATAGGAACGAAAGCAAGAACAATGGAAACTTGAACGAAACTTCTTCTACCAACTTTCTCCACTACGATACGATAAGAAAGTAAAAATAAGATACGATATCTCTACGGTAGCGTACACGCTTAATCTCGGTTAACGAATGGCGTTCAACGATGCGGTGTATCTATCTATTGTACGTACATAATAAGAACTACTCTCGAGATCCGATATTATCCGAGAGAAACGTAAAGAACGTAAATAACAAAATTGATTATTAAAGAAGAAATATTCTGCGTAATAAAGTACATACGTGCAACAAACGCACGCTGAATACAAATCGTGAACGAAAGGGCGATATAATATCTATGATCAAATCGTGGGATTTAAATTACGAACAACAAGGAAGGGTTTAACTAACTACCATTGTAAATAGCGATTCGAACGAAATGAACCATCTGAACGGGTAGCAGACAGGAAAGAAACCCCACTAACAGACCAGAGCGGCAAATATTATTATTATTATTGTTATTATTTTTCTTTTTTTTCTTTTTTTTTTTTTTTTTGCTCGTTTTCTTCGCTACGGTAGCGTAAAAAGCACGTTTTTCGTACGTTCAGTAGCGTACCAGGTGGCGTACCCCACTAAAGAGCAGTGGTGCGCAGGTGGGGACAGCGCTGTAGCGACAGGCCCCGGGGCCCCAGCTCCTAAATGGCGTTCAATGCGCGCGGGTCTTGCTGCTGGCGACGCCTAGATGCGCTCCCGTAATCGACGCCACTGACGTACGATTCCTCCTCGTTGCCGTAGTCGTGTTCACCACGATCGCCCCGATCACGATCCATCCTCTCCAGCCTCGACTTCCGGCTCCCCTCGCTCACGTGTCCACCGCTGTGTCCTGCATTTTATTTCGTTATTTCATCATCGTCAATTTTGGGACAATTCTCGTTTGGAGAATTGGATTGTTCAGACGAGGGATGTCCCAGACGGGGCTTGAATTTTTGTAACCTTTAAGAATCCTTCTTAATCTGGACTTTTGTCAAATCCACATTAGGGAGGGATTTACTCGTAGTGTTACAGAAATTAAGCTGATCACAACCCTTGTTGTCAATACCACTTTTACACTTGGAATATCTTTTGAATTTTCTTATCGAAAATTGTAAAAATTGAATTCGATTGAATTTTTCTCTGAAGTATTGACATACAGGGTTCAATTAAGTGGGTAAAAATTCGAAAGGATAGAGAGAAAATGAATTTTTCTTCGCAATATTGAATTTTCAAAAGATGAATTGGAACAATATTCCTTTCGAATTTTCGAAATCAAACTCGACGGAAAAAAATAAAGCAACACTGGTGTCGAGTTCGATATCGATCAATATCACTCAAAAGCTAGATTACGATTACACACAAGAAAACCAGTGTTATTTTGAAATTAAGCTGATTGTCACAGTATTTTGTAGAAGTACAAGTTAATCCATCTATGAATATTTAAATACACCGTAACGACATCGTAACTCACACAATGCATGCAAGCTAGCTATGCAAAAAGAGGGATAAATTGGGTAAAAAAAAGAAAAACGAGAGGGGCAAAAAAGACACGGTTGTTGCAAAGACTCCGACGTTCAAACGGATTATCATTGCGCTACGAGCGCGAGCATCGACAATGTGGACGAGTTAAAACCTCGATTTGCAAGTTCTCCTTCACAGACTTGCTTCGACTGAAAAAAAAAATGCTCTTTTAAGGTAAAATTTCAATTAACATTAAATTAAGAGAAAGAAAAAAAATGAAAAAAAAAAAAAAAAAAAAAAAGAATAGAACAAAGGGAGAGCATAAAAACAAGCCAATGACCAAAAAAGAAGATCCATCCATGATTCGCTCAGGAATTCCTCTTCGAAGTAATCACGTGTGTAATTCTATCCAAAAGTGTAATAATATAATCCTCTCGATTCCCATAAATCTCGTTAATGCTTCTCGTTAGACTATTCTATATGTCAACCCTAATTCTATGTGAGAGGGGTTGGTGAAAGGGTTTTTTTGCGAGACAACCAAAAACAAAAGGGTGGAAAATAAAAACGAACAAACAACAGAACTGAAAGAGGGGGAGGGGAAAAAAAAGAAAAAAAAGAAAGAAAGTCTCTAGTTAAAATTAGAATTTGCAACGACAGGAATCATCAATTCAAACAACAAGAAATTGTCTCAACGAGAGATGGTGTCGAAATACGACAAAAATAAAATAAAATAAAATAAAATAAAAAAAAAAAAAAAAGATATGAAGAAGTGAGGAACATTCGAGGTGAGAATGAAATAGTAACGAAATGTAACCAATGGATTAATCGAAAATCAAATCCTTCTCTTTGGACAAGAGAGACAGGGTGTGGGATCCGGGTATCAAACCCGGTCTCAAACCCTTCCTGTACTTACTACGCGGCCTCATTTAAGGAGGTTTCCCTATAAACACAGTCTCTAATTCTCTCAAACGTCATCCTAATCCCCTTTCTTTTCTAGAATCGGGGGGGAGGGGGGATGGACGACAGACTGTACAATTGGTCGGCCGATCTATCGCCGTAAAATCTCATCTCCTTGATGAGGAGGAAGTGTGGAAGAGCGTCGGTCGTTCTAGGCCCGACCGTCGTCGTGCGTGCGAGCGTTCTTTTAGCTCGACTCTTTGGGCCTGTTCTCATCACCGTAGGACAACTGGCCCTGTTTTCGGATGACTCCCGTGGCAGCCACCGCCTCCACGGCTTTTACACGTAAACAAAGAGAACATCGGAGTCAGAGCTGATTGCCGATCGTACTTTCGCTGATATTTTTTTTTTTTTTCATTTTCCTTTTTCTTTCGTTCTTTTCTTACTTTTTTTTTTTTATCTTTATCTATTTATTTCTCTTTTCATCTCGTTTTAATTTCAATCTTAATTCTGCCCGGAAATGATGATAGTTTTTCAATGTGGAATAATCTCTCTTTTCGTGTATCGTCGTCGTTTGTTCGTCGAGGATTGTTGAGATTCGTCGAGAACGGGGAAGAGAATTTTTTACGAATGAAAAACGAAAGAAAAAAAGACGAAAAAGTATGCGGAGTGGTGCGATTTTTTACGTGATGTGTTAGTTAATTCTTGCGTAGCATGAACACACGCGTGGATTTAACGTGATCGATCCTTCGATCATGGCGTCGCAAAAATTCGAAACGAAGATTTTGCTCATCGTCATCTCGTTCTTTCTCTTATCTTTCTTTTTTTTTTTTTCGATTGACAGTTCTTTGTTTTTTAATAAAACATTTATGTAATGTTCACGAGGTTCAAATTCAAAATCTTTAGAAACTATATACGATAAGATCTCTCCGAGACGATCGAAGAATATCCAAGAATTTTTTACCACTCCAGTTGAGGAGATACGAAAATACACGACTCCGTGAAACGTGTTAACTTCATTCACGAAACTGTCGAGAAGATTTAAGTCGTTTCCCCTCTTCGCGAGCCCTTTATCCGCGACAAGGATAAACTCGACGTCGCTCGTTCACGCGACGTATCTCTTAATGAATATTAATGATCGAACAGATGTCACGGGTAAATCCACTCGTGTCGGGATAGTAGACAGAGCGCAGCGTGCACGAGGTAAGCTGCACAACTAGAATATAATAAACGATCGTGGAAATGAGGGTGAACGTGGCGAGAGAGAGAGAGAGAGAGAGAGAGAGAGAGAGAGAGAGAGAGAGAGAGAGNAAGTAAAAGAGAAAGAGAGAGAGAGAGAGAGAGAGAGATCGTCTTAGAAGGGATGATCGTATCTTTGATAGAGCGCATAAGGAAAGAGAGAAGAATGAAGAAAAGAAAACAAGATGAAAACATGATTGAAACTAACGAGAACGAACGCGCCATTGTCTTGCAGTGGTTGGTACAAGTTTCCCGATCCATATATCATCGCTGAAAAAAAATTCAATAGTAAAAGGTGTCTTGCGTGCGAAACGTATTTTCTTTCACCGTGATATCTTTCATTTTCCTTCCTCAAAGTTTCGTTCAAAGACTGCTAGTTTCTTCTCCTTGTCTGTCTGTCATCATCGTGCTGAGTATGGAAATATCCCTATTCAAACCAGCGTTGTTCGTCAAACGTTGTGATCAACGTTTTAATGTTAATGTTTCTTTTAGAAAGATGATATTGAAAAATTGCCACTTTTTTTCTTTTTCGAACAGCGCTGATTTAAAATAGAAGAAAGAAAAGAGAGAGAGAGAAAAAAAAAAGAGATAGAGAGCAGGGTATTTACAACGAGAACGAGAGACATAATTTCTCGCGCGTCATTCAAACGCTGTAGCGTGCACAGTAAGAGAGTAAGAAATACGTGCAGCGTAACATCGAAAGTATCGTAATAATTTACAAGGCTTCGAGTACAGGTTGCGTCCAGCGACTAGCAGTCTTCCCAATAAGAATAATTCTACATTCTAACACGAATCCATGCAAACGACTACGTGCAGCTAATGATACAAGTTACACTACAGACGTGTTTCATTACTAGCTTCGAATGTCGCCAGTGTTTCATTCTCGAGGATCGAAGGATCGTCGAGAAACGTCGAGAAAACGGGAAGGACGCGTGTTTTTCTTTTTCTTTTCTTTTTCAAAAGAATTTCCTATACAGACGTTTCGAAAATAACTTCACCTCGATTTTCCTTTCTTTTCCATTTTTATCTTTTTTCTTTTCTACCTTTTTCTTAAGCGAGTAACGGAACACAGGCTGCGCGACAGTTGAACTCGTAGAAAAGACAAGAAAAAAAAAAAAAAAAAGAAAGAAGAAGGAACGCGGGTGTACAATGTTGCGCTCGAGGAAAAGGTTGGGTTACCTCTTGGCTCGTGGCCGTAGTAACTCTCATGATGGCCACCTGAAGAGGCAAGAAGAAAGTGTCGAGTGTTAGTTGACGGAATTGGGGCTCGTTAGAGTTTTCAAGTGAGCTAGAAACCTCGACCTAGCCATCCAGGGCTAGAAGGGGTTAGGATGGTATCGGTAGGATTTAAAGTGGTGGTGGACGAGAATAATGAGATGATGATATGTCGCGATTATAGATAACTCGTATCGTTGAATCACACGATATGATGATACATATAGTATAGGACATCTGGATTTATTCTTTTCGTCAATTCGTATGTCGAATCGAGATCGATACGTAACACGCAATATATCTTCCTTTGAAAAAATGAAATCAATTATCGAGACGTGTGAATCGATTTTAAATACAAATACTCTACCACCTGATGATCGATATCAACCCTAACCGGACCATTCTCCGCGATAATGAAACTCACGTAGAATATTTGTACTTGGAAACATTCGGCTACGAATTCGGGGGAGGCGACGAACTCGAACGATTCTTCTCACGGGCCAAGAATGTCATCCAACTTGTCTATCATCTTCGATCGAAAAATGAGAATCGAGAAGCGACGTTCAAAATGACGAAACTAGAATTTCATTTTTACAACAGTTTTCATATTTTACAACAGTATTGTACGAAGCGGACAAACAGGCAATACGACAAGCCCAGTAGAATCTAAAGACTCGAGTCTTCTCCATTCTCCTTTAATTCTACTGCCTTTACTGCCCTCGGCATCGATCGAGGATAACAGCCTCCCTACAGCCTCCCTACGGCCCCAAAAATAAAAATTTGAACCACAAATTAACGAAAAATTGACGAACAACAACAAAAAGTATAAAAATCGAATTGTCAAGACGATGATGGGGCTTTGGAGGGAGAAAGTAAGGAGGTAGGCGGCCAGTTCGTCACCCCAAGGCTACGAGATAATGTATACGATCCCCGACGATAACGTATACGACCATAATCGAGCACAATCGCGTCGAGATGAACGTGGTACCTGATGTGACGCGGGGTGTGAGCACGTCGACCGGTGCATCCGGTGCAGGAATAGGACGTGGGACGGCCGGGATCACTTGGGGATGCGTGGCCCTCCAATATGCTTCCAGGTACTCTGCCACGTGCTCGCAAGCCTCCTCCAACTGATTCTCGTCCAGGATCACGTCGAACATCTCGGGCGGGCACTGGGCCAGCTTCTCGGCGGCCACCATCTGCACGTTCAGGTGTCTGATCTGCGACTTCCCCCGCGACTTGATCAACCTCTGGAGCACTTTGGGCGAGGAGATCTTCAGGTAGACGATCGTCGGCGCCAGACTGGTCTTCGCCAATTGAGACGGGTGATTGATCGTGTCGCAGTCCAACACTACCAACTGGATGATAGGGAATTGTTTCAAGAGGGTGATTACTTTCTCTTTCCAGGGAGTGAGATGGAAGGGGTTGAAAAAGCGTACCTGAAGGGTTCTGGCGAGCTCGAAAATCCTCTCGATCTCGGCCTGAACCTCGGCCAAACAGCTGCTCCTGCTCGTGGATCGTTCCATGATCGCTCGTTTCGTTGGATTGTTGAGTAACGATCTCTTTGCCAATGAAATGTCCGCCATTACCCTAGTGATAATTATTCTGAAAATGCGTGGACGATTAGAAACGATTTTACTCTTGTAATGGTGGAAAGAAGGAAGGAAGATGTACGTACCTGCCTCGGAACCTGTGCTTCAAGTAATCGAACAACGCCTTCTGCATCATATCCGTGACCTGATAACCCTTCAACGATGGACCGACCAGCACGACAGGCCTCATGGATGGTACAACGTCGTAAGGTGTGGTCGTTTCCTGAAATCGTGACGGGGGAATGAGCGCAGACCGATCGAGAGGAGGTCCTGCACGCCAGGATCAGCCCCAAGATAGTCTCTCACTTACGTAGGACTTCGTGAGCACGGAATGCAACATTGAAAACATTGAAAACAGTTAATGGCCATGTCGATACGAGACATACGACCTATCCTCCTGCACGGCCAAAGACCTTTCCTCTTCTCATATTCATCATCATCATCATCATCATCATCATCATCATTATCGTCATCGTCATCGTTATCCAAAGGCACTTTGGCCAAGCAGTGTGTTCGATAAACTACCGATCATACCTAAGCTATCAACGATCTCCTGCGTACTAAAGTAATCGTAATCTAAAAAGCTAATTCTATCTACATTCTCCTCATTGACGAATCATTTTCAACGCAAATGTAAATTGTGTTTTCTCTCGTTATCGAATCGTCATGGACGAGATCGTCGTCGTCTTTCCAACGATGGTAAAAAAAAAAAAAAAAAAAAGATTGATATTACACTCGATATTATCCGATCGATGCTAGAAATCTTTACTCACATCGATCACACTTGAATAAAGAGGAACATTTATCGTGTTCACGGAGCAGCCAGCTGATAAACGCGTGGAAACTGATGGTGGAAATTATTAGATAAACTCTTCTGCTGAGAGTTGTACGCGCGAGTCTGAATGCTCGATGATGTTACGATCTCTGTCCTTTCTTACTTTCCTCTTCTTCTTCCTCGTTCGACGAATATCACAACGGATGCACAAAGAGAGAGAGAGAGAGAGAGAGAGGTTTCGCAGTATCATACACACAGTCGCATACTCACAGAAATAAATCTGCTAGTCCTCGCGTGGTCCACGATATTTTCTAGCACCGACAGATAAATTTAGACACGTAAGCCTCGTCCACGTCATCAAGTTTTATCACATCGCACACGACCAAATCTTTGCCAAATCGACGAAAAATTTTGATCGGTATTCGTCCAATTATTATACTTGTTGGTCTATCGAAGGACGAACGTTTCGTGAAAACGTTGGACGAGACTTGAGATCTAGTATGGCACTTTCGATGATTATCGTATACTAGATATCCAAATGGGAATCGATCACGATGTCGAGTGTATGTGTGTACACATAAAAAAAAATAAAAAATAAAGAAAAAAAGGAGTGGTCACAGACATCGCGATTCGACTGTCGAAATCGTTTACCGGCTTCTTGAAGAAGTTCTTCCTTTTCTCCTTGGCCGGTGGTGTGGTCAACGTTGCCTTACCGCCCCGCACGCTGTCGCTGTCGTCACCTGTCGAGAAAGAAAGAATCGCTCGAATTAATCGTGGAAACGATTGCATCCTTGGTCGTTATCGTGCATCGTTAAATGTCCCTCTTTCTCTCAAGGAAAATTATGTTATGTGAGAAGCGGTTGAATTGCGTACTAAGAACCTAAGGATTCTAATTAATTCGAATATATGCTCTCGATTGATATGCTCGGAGAGATCGTGGAAAGCGACTAATAATGAGAGTTCATTTACAGCTGAGAATAGTAATAATGTACATATGGTGGAGAGTATAGAGCTCGTGTAGAGAGCGGTGATTGCCGATGGGTTGGATCGATTTTCGTTCGAATCTGACTGAATTGTGAGGTGGAGCGAACACTGCCACTAATGTCAAGCGTGTGATCGTTGACTTGTGGGTGCTGCGTGGATCATTGATCACTAACGGATTGCCGATCAATTTTTATAAAATGTTTCCCAAAGATTTGTCAATAATTCTTATAAGAAAAGAAGAAAGTCAGGATTCAGCTAGCATCTTATCAAAGTTTTCAATGATCAACGCAACGCGAGTCAAAACTTCCTATAATCTAATTCGCAAAACTCGATCATTTCTAGTCGAGGATCCACCTCGATAACTAAAAAAAAAAAAAAAAAAAAAAAAAAAAAAAAAANNNAAAAAAAAAAAAAAAAAAGAAAGAAAGGGAAAAACGAGCAAAGAAGAATGGTGAAAGGTAAGAAAGAAGCTCGCGACAGAGATGCGTGTGGAAAGAAACGAAAACTAATAGAGTGTATTTGTATTTGTTCAGATACTTAGGGCCAACTCTTTCGGGAGATTTTTTTTTTTAATATTCGTATCTTTCTTTCCCCGTCATTTTCTTTTCTTTTTTATTCTCGGTCTCTCTTATGTTTTTCACTTTTTCTCTTTTCTCTTTCCTCTCGCTGTTTTTTTTTTTTTTTTTTTCTCGTTTTGCATATCTTTGCACGACCGAGGATCTCTCCCTCTCCGTCGTCTGTTTTCACTGTCGGATCATCGATCGGTCGAAGAGAATTCCCGTACAGGTACACCGGTGGTTTTCGAGGGGCGGAAAGAAAGAAGGACGTGCTAGGATACCTGGTGTAGGTGGTGTGGAACCACGTGAGGGCATACCACTCTCGCCAAGGTTCCCTGAAGACCCTCCACGCGCCGAGTAGAGACCCTTTGTACCACGTGCAGCGCTCGCCTGCTGCCTCAGGGCCTCCAACTTCACCGGGGATGGGATGAAACCGACGTCCGAGTTCTCTTTCACCAGCCTGCCTATCCACCAGTTGTTGTCGTACTTCTCCTGTACGCAGTTTCGTACGTAAGATTACTTTCCTCGCTCGTCAGATCTTTAGATTTTTATTATTAATTATATAAGATTATATTGCATTAATTAGAATTTTGTAAATCGTTATCGAGGATTTTTGAATTTCTAAAATATTGGAATATTTTACTAACAATAATTTTTATTATATCTTTTATAGAAGATTGATGCAAATCACCGAGAAGAAAATAGGAAAACAGGAAAACGTACCTTGATGTGCAGGAAGTCGCGAACCTCGAAGCTGACAGCCGAGCCATGGACCGGCGAATCATCGTCGACGGATCCGTCATAGCTCACATTGGTCCGCACTGCAAACGCTACCGGTTTCGTCTGAACAATTTACAAAAATTATCCTATTATTGGGAGTGATTTTGCAATTTTTTTTTTTCAGATTGAAAGAATGGGACGGATTGAAAGGACGGTGTGTGTAAAAAAAATTGTTCTTCGAGGAGTATAGACGGTAGAGTTTAGGGTGAGAAAGATAGTTTTATCGTTGGCATTATCGATTTTTTCTCTTATTGGGTCACGTCGCATAATCCATTATACCGTGGCGATACTCCGTGCAACTGCAATTTGAGCGTAAATGCCGATCAGATCATGGATGATCGGTACATTGTCAACGTACCACGTGACAAGCTGACGAGGAATAAAAGCGTAATAAACCGATAGGGTTGTCGCGATGCGCCTCGAAGGTCGTGGCTTAGTTAATCGATATTCGTTTATTGCTCGTTGGAATTCGACCGATCGGTGATGTGTAATACGTTTCGATGGCGTATTCTTCATAATTCAATTCGCACCGCTACGTTCGTTTCCTCGAAAATTAACACCGACGCAAAGATACCGAAGAGTACGAATAAAAGGATCGATTCGGAATGTTAATTTATTTCTAGAGAATTGGAAACGTTGGAAAATTTGGATTGCTTGGAATACGAACGAGAATTCGAAAATTCGAACGTTTGAATAGTCTTCTCCGATCTCTCAGCTCCCCTTTCGGTTTGAAATGTCATAAATCAACAGCCTAACCCAAGAGTTCGTCGACACAGAGGTGCGAGAGTATTGGCCAATCGTGCACGTAACACGGAGCCAAGAAAGAAGAGAACGATGCCACGGAAGCTTCGAAACAACGGTCGGATAATTGCCGACTTCTGACACGATCTGTCATGAAAGGGAGGGAGGATCTATAATTAGAGGGCAATAATATCACGGATGGCGATATAATGCATCTGCATCCATTGTCGAAAAACAAAGGATCACGCGTTAATTCGATTTCGTCCTCCACGATGAAATCTCATTAGTCTGGCGCGCTTATTCATTGACACGCTTCTCATTCCTTGGGGACAGAGAGAAGGAACACGATAGACGATGACGATGGAAAGTTGTTCGATCGATACGAAACGATTTACGAAAGGCTTGTGGAAAAACAAACTCGGGGGTGGAGAGAGAAGAAAGGAGAAAGTGAGGGATAGAGAGAGAGAGAGAGAGAGAGAGTGAGATGTGAAACTAGAACATGCGAAAGATCAATGACTTACCCTGGCTTTTTCAAGTTGATTGAGGGCCTGCCTCTCCTTCTCACGACGCAAGCTCTCTTTCTCCTCGTCCAGCGAGAGATCCGAGCTCGGCTGTGAGTAGTTCGAGTCTGCCGAGCCCTGAAAATACAAAACAAACTCGTTTAAATTGCGCCTCCAAGCGGCTCGCATTGTTGCGTTTATTCGGATCGTTATCGAATCGAATCGTTTCGAGTTCGATCGATATAACGTAATCGATATCTCTCCTTTTCGATATCTCTCCTAATGATACGTTTTTGATCTTTTCTTCTTGGAAGAAAACGTAACACTCGTGAATTCTTTTCCCGTCCTTTCCATTCCAATTTTATTTTATCGACATTATTTTCCGTTATTTATCATTGAAAATTAGAGTTGAGGTGAACGAAACGAATTCTTGGATGAATAATATTTTCCACGTGTTATATCGTTATATAACGATTCGTGAAATTTAAATGGAAATTGGAGATAATTTCACAAGCGAGAATTTCAAAGTGGCGAATTTCGTTTCTTTGTTACTCGACGATCCAAACGTTGGCGAGTACGATTCTGAGTGAGATTTTTCATCAAGCTCCCGAGAATTGTGTTCCTGAGAATTGCAAGGAGCCGTGATATTTTGCCCATCACGGAAACCTTGGAGAAGTACTCAAGGGTTTTGAGTGTCGGGGACCATTAGCTCAAAAAAGTTTCGCCTGTTCTGAAGCGACTGTCCTCCCTCTGAAGAGGCTACCTCTTTGCAAACATCTTAACGCGCTAGTTTGCGATGGTTTGTCGGTTCGAAATCGTTTTCCCTGCAAATAATAAATACGAATTTTGAACGCGCTCGTTTCGAAATTCAATCTGATGATTACTTTAATCTCCGATTCGTTCCAATTTCGCGCATCGCTTAAATTCGTATCGCGCGCGCGATTACGATTCGGAAAAAAATCGATCATCTCCAGCGAAATAAATAGCGAGCAAGTGAGTGAGCAACGGGGACACGGATGTGGATCGTATTCGATCGGACGATACATTTTTTTCGAAGAATCTTTTTGTCTCTATTATTTGGAATAATAGGATTAAATACGATGCGACGACGATGATGATACGAGTTTCAAATTGTCGTATCCTCGATATTTCTTGTATCCTCTTTCGAAATATTACGCGCCGTCGAAGACGCGATTCTTGCCTGCCAAGAATCTCCTCGAGAAGAGTAGAGATCCGTCAATCCGGGGGATTCGGGACGGATTCGAATGCTCTCCTTTTTTCTTTCCTCCCCTCTCGATTTCCCATCATTTCCATCGAACTACAGTCTCCACGTTTTCGAATCTCGATGTAGCGTATCCCCAAAATTAGGCGTCGCGAAATTTATGACACGTTAATAATAATTCACCGTGGCCCGTTGAGCGCAATTTCGAGCGAATAATCGTTGCGACGATTGGGCAAACGACGACGACGACCGAGAATTATCGACGACAAAAATTAGGATTCTATCTATATACGATACTACGCCGCAATTCGTTGCGTCACCACGCGAAACGTCCTGGCAAACGATTCAGGAGAACGTTACACGGTTAATCGCAACCACGGTTGGCGACAATGCGTGAGGCCTCGTCAAAAAAGGATGCTCGATTAATTCACCGTGCGAGGAATTGATTGGATCGATCGCGTCCCGATCCCCGATGGAAGACGATGGTGTCGATGCAGTGGCGTTCGTAGCGACGGGAAAGTAGAAAACGAGACACGTTGAAATTCTCTCTTCGTTGGGCGAATCGAGACTGAGAGAAAGAGAGAGAGAGAGAGAGAGAGACGCAATTTCTAACAGTTTTATCGATCCCGAGTTACGAGCGACATTGATGTATTGATCCACTTTTCAAAGTCAAAGCTTTTACCTGTAATTAGATACTTAATTAAATGCAAAGGATGCTCGGGTGTGTGTATATGTGTGTGTGTCGCGCCACTTGGACGGCCAGAATTTGCATTTCGACGGTGTTGCATTCGTCTGGTGTTGTACAAAGAGGTGTATACGAAACGATTCGTTGCTACTTCTCCATTTTCTCACCCTTAAAAATGAATTTTTTTTCCTTCTCTCTCTCTCTCTCTCTCTCTCTCTCTCTCTCTCTCTCTCTCTCTCTCTCTCTCTCTCTCTCTCTCTGTCGGGACGATGAATTCATTCGTTCGGGGCTTGTAACCATGCCAACGGCCTTTACTTAATCGTCTCTCTCTTCCTTTCTCTCTCTCTCTTTCTCTCTACCTGTTTCCCGTACGTGACTGTATAAACTCGTCTATGCGTGCCACCACGACCTTCTTCGACCCTCTTGGGGATCACGGGGACGGGAATTCTTTCGAACAATCGTATTGCGAATTTTTAGACGAGGAATTTTGTATGATTGGATAACACAGAGAAGAAATATAGGGTATTACATTAGGAAATTTTTCTACCCTAGTACAGTTAACGTGAATTGAAAAATGAAATAATGATAATGGTGACAAGTGGTTCGTTCGTCGAAAAAAAATAAAATAATAATAATAATAATAATAATAATAAAATCGAAGCGAAACGAAAGATCGAGGTCGAGTGAAGCTCTCTTATAATTAATACAGAATTGATAATGAAAGGTGACAATAAACCGATAATATGGACGAGCGAAAAAAGTGGAGAGTGGAATAACGCAATTTTAACGATGAATAAGCGAGAAGAAGTGAGAAGTGAGAATAGATAAATGATAAAGTTCACCGGAAGAGTGGCGGAGTAACAAGTAAATAAACGGAGTGAAAAAAAAAAAGAAAGAAAGAGAAAAAAAATAAAATCTGGACACGGGTAAAAGTGTAAAAAAGATAGAATGTCTGTGAATAGGACGTGGAGGAGCAATGGAGCATACCATGGGAACGCTCGGTTTCACGCTCAAAATGTAAACCGGATCGATTTAGATTGCAACGTAAAGGATCGAGGCTGTGCAACGATGGCACGGCTGGCCGCTTTTATTTCACGCCAGGCTGATTAATGTAAAACTTCTGCGACGCATCGCACGCAGTGGAAAACCCTTTATAAAACGGAGAAAATTGATGAAGACGCCGCCTGGTAGGCGCCACGTTCATCCCCTGCAACTAATTTACTTTGTGTAATTTACTAAGGAGGCCAATTCATTGACACCCTATATCTGAAATCTGCCCCCCTTCCGTTACAACCATTATCCTCTTGTAATCTTATCTGTATTTGCATCACATGTAATAAAAAAAAAAAAAACAACGAAGTAAAGTAGGTAAATTAGGAATTAAAAAAAAGATCGTTCTTCTTCGAGGAATATAAAGAGAAGATGATCGTCCTATCATCAAATTATCGCGAGAATAATACAACGTTCGTGCAATCTTCAATTTAATCCGAATTAAACGAACGAATTCATTTGAATTTCTTCCAATCCCTTTAACGAAAATTAACGAAAAATTAATACAAACAGAAGTAAAACGAAATTTTCAAAGATTCCCAAATATTTCCTCCCCGAAAATCAAAGTACCAAGAAGAGTGTATAAATTCTGCAAAGCTATCTTCCGCTAAAAAAAATTAAATTTTCAACGATCGAAAATGAAACTCTAAAGTATCCTTCCTGAACACAACACAAAAGATTATCGGAAACACATTTCCCTGGTGGTGAATACCTGCGTGAATAGCTTGTTGTAGCCGGAATTGTGTTGATTGTATCCGATCATCGCCGGAAGGCAGGGCCGTCGTCGCCGGGGCCGGTTGTTCGAGTGGCTTTCACCCACTTCCGGGCCCTTCGACTCCAAGTATTATGGCCCAGTTTCGTTCTCCCTGTGGTAAACTCACTCTCCGCCAACCACGCGTTGATCCGCTAAACTCTCGCTATTCACACGCTACCGCATTGCGTCTTTCTCTCCTCCGCCCTCGGTCGGTCGCTTTTCACCAAACTGAACCTCTGACCGAAGCACACCTTGCTTGGAAGAAGTTACGCGCGGCGCCGCTACGCCATGCTGGCCGGCGCGAGTGTCACTCCGCGGCTTCCCTCAGGCGTTCCTCCACGACTTTTTCCGCTTCCGTTTGCAAGCCATCCAAACGCCACGCGTTCTACTCGCGGCACACGTCGGGGTTCATCGCGCCTCGGCCACCTGGTGCTTGGACTTTCGCGTGCATCGCGGGTTCCTGCGCGAGGCGAGCTCACTCTTCCACGATACCCTCCTCGTGTGCACCCTCGAGCACGCTGCTGCCAAGAGGATCGTTCCGTGAGAGGGGAAAATGGGGCTTGGAAATGGGACGAAGCACGAACGCAGGCAAACGCAGGTTGGATCGAGTGGCTCGAGACTCGTCGAATCGTGATTATGCCTCGATGGATAAAGAAAGTTTCTTTTCTTTTCGCGTAATTTAATGACGTAAATTTTTTTCTTCGATTCGAATCGTTCGTTGATAGCAACGATATTTTAAAATATTGCCAAAATCTCGTTTCTCGAATCTTTTCGATCCAAAGAGTATTCCTTCTTCCTCCAATTCATTCTTCAGATTCGTCCGGAACGGAACTCTCATTCTCCGACACGAAGAACGTTAATCGAAAACTCGAAAACGATCAAGAAGAGTTACAATCACCTCCAACTCTGACCCCGTCTGCCTCTCTCGCACCGATCCATCCGACGACGGATCGTCCAATATGGATTTACATCCCTTTTCTCGGTGCCAGACTGGCGCTCGTTTCGTCGCTGCCACGAAATATGCTGATATAATTGCTCTCGAGGATCTTAACGAGAAAGGGTGAGCAACGTCTTGGTCCGTACACGACTTCGACCTCGACTAACGACGACTTCCACCACCGTTAATTACATCGTAGCAATTAAAGTAACGACCAGGTGGATCTACGCCGTTGTCCCTGAACCTCCCTACAACATCTTCGATACGCTCTATTTGAGATCGGCCCCGAAGTCTGATCACGTATAACCGCCTATACATCTATATCTATCTTCAAGCTTTTTATCTCGTGGCTTGAAAAAAATCGGTTTAAAACCGACATTTCCATCGAGTATCGAAATCGAATTTTCAACGTCCACGAGGATTTATTATGAACAAGATTAAAATATCGCTCGAACGATGGTTATGTAATTTAAAGATGTGCAAAGTTCTGATTATGTGTCACCCCGCGGATCGACCCCGTAACACGGTTAATAGTCGAGGATCGAGAGATCAAGCTGGTAAGGCTTCGATTATACATGCGGCCACGATCAGAGGATCGTTAAGAGGATTCCAGTTTTACGATAGGATGGATGGAACACGCAAATTCCTCTCGTACGATAGTTACAACGTCTCGTGGATAGAAGTGGAGAAGAGAAAATAAAAATTAGATTATATTAAAGGGAAAAAACATTCTTTAGAAACGAAACTGTTAGAGAACTTTCTTTGCGATTCGTTTGATCGCTGTGAAATAATTAATTAATAATTAATTAATTCGTTATTATTAGTATGTGGTATCCAACTGTGCATTGATTAAAAAACGCGATAATTCTTTCCATCGAAAGAGAAAGAAAGAAATTCTGTTTGGAATTGTCGGAGGCAAGGGAAGAGGGCAATCGATTCCGTTGACCTCTTTGCAACTATGTGTGTCGTTGGAGTGCGCTATCCTTTTGTAAACAGTGGACGATTATTCGACGGGAAATTCACGACGACGAATTCATCATTCCGCGATAAACGGAACCACCGACAATTATCCTGCAATTATTACTCGAGGCGTTAAGAAGATCCGCGTGGGCAGAGGGTGAGAAGAAACGAGTTCCTCCGTCCCGCGAACAATGCCAGTGTCCTTTGAAGAATAATAGGCTCTCCTTATCCTTAACCGCGCACCCTTTTTGTCTTCCCCCGAACGCGAAGTAATTTGCGTCCCAAGATTTCATCCGCGATAAACACGAGCGAGAGGAAAGCTAAAGAAAGTAAAAAAAAAAAAAAGAAGGAAAGAAAAGAAAAGGAAATGTAAGGAGAAATGCGAGGAGAAAAATGGAGAACGGGGTTGTCCGAGAGCGTAGACGTTCCTTCGTCTCGATGGATACACTTGACCGGTTGCCTACATTCAGGAGTTTAACGGGAAACTGACAAATCAGAGGGCCTGTAAAAGCGGAGGAGGACGCTCTCGGAAGCGGGTCAACGACATCGTCGAGTGGCGAGTTCACGTTCATTCGATCGACTCAGACTCAGTCGCGTTATCAACATCTATCGAGAAAAAAAAAAGAAAAAAGGAAAAGCTGCCTGCGCTCGTGGCCTATTTCTCTCTCTCTCTCTCTCTCTCTCTCTCTCTCTCTCTCTCTCTCTCTCTCTCTCTCTCTCTTTTCTAACCGAATTTTGTTCGTTTAACGTCTTCTTCTAATCAACGATATGATGAATGTACCTGCGTTAGATCGTCTCGCGCGGAAGTAGATAAGGAAAACAAATATCAACAGCTTGGAAACGTCAAAAAGTGGCCTGGGTCGCGTGCGTGGTACGCCGAGCCTTCCGGCACGACGCGTGTTCCCGACACAGATAATGTAAAAAAAAAAAAAAAAAATCCACGTCTATCTTCGAGCCACCTCGATCCTTCGATGCAACGTCTCGATCATTGGAATAATTATTCTTTATTTTTCAAAATTTTTTTCCTACTTATTTATTTCTTATCTTTTTTTATTTTAATTTTTTATTTTTTTATTTTTTATTATTTTTTTTCCCCCTTTATCATTATTCGGAACACTGAACTCACACGGTCGAGTGTCGATTTCGAAAGGCACACGCGCGACTCGACGACGATGGGGGACGACGTATCTCCGCGTACTGACACTCTCTACGTTTCCCTACCGTCCCCGCGAACGCGTTCCTGGCCGGGTTTAGTTGATACATCGGCCCAAGGGTTTGCCGACTCACCCGCTCTGTGGCGCCACCGAGGAAGCCGGACGACACCCCCGTGACTATATCGATCCACAACCCCCTTCCTCCTCCTCCCTCTCTCCTCCCGATCTTCGCCACCCCTGACCAACCCGCACGACAACGCCAGGCCACTGCACCCTGAAGGCAACGTGTCCTATCAAACCTTACGAGTACACACACACACACACACACACACACACACACACACACACACACACACACACACACGTGTGCACACACACGCTTGTGTGTACTATGGGGGTTGGAGGGGGTGGAGGAAGAGGGTCGTGGATCTGTAACGCTTGGTAACGCATGTATATCGCGATCGTAGTCGAATCGCGGAACCACGAGGCGTCTTCGACGCGGTCAAACGTTTCTACGACCGAAACTGTGTCATTCGGATGAATCGAACGTTTGCCCTTACTCTGGGTTGCCACCTCGTCTAGGAGGATCGGGTCTAGGAGGAGCGAAGGTTTCCTTCGACTCTTTAAGAATAGAATCCGAGATTTTTTTCGGATATATCTTTATTCGTTTATTCGTTTTTCGAATTTATCGATGATTAATCGTGAAGTCGTTGATATAAAGTGTCTCTTTTTTTTTTTTTAATTAAAGAAAATTAGGGTATTAAAGATTACTTGTAACGATAAAAGTTTTCGGATTTTTGGAATTTAACGTGGATAGTAGGATAAAGGAGGAGGAGATAAAAATCGAAAGTTCGATATTGATTTTGAATTGGTAAGAAGGGAGGGGGTGTATAGAATCGGGCGATTAATTGAATTTTCGACGTTGATAACCCATCGCGAGCCTACTTTGCCAACAAACAGGATTGATTTGAGGAGGATTTCATATCGGATTGGCCGTGTTAAATATCGTCGTGGAATCCAATTTACCAACGAATCCCGCCACTGTCTCGTTTCCACGAGAACTTTTTCTCCTTTCAAGCTGGGTTACAGGTTGATTCATAAACTGGGTTAAGCTGATATACTCTCGCCACTTGTCCTCTTTTAAACTTTCTCGCGGAATCACCATGATTATTACACGAAAGGAAAGAAAAAGAGGCTCCTCCTTTCTTCCTCGTAAAGCGTGCAAAGTGGAGGATCGTATTATTACGTAAAATTTTCGCGACGAAAGTGTTTGTTTCGAATCGAAGGGAACAACGATCTGTTCTTAATTAAGACGAAAGTAATTGGAAGATAAGTTTCCAAAGCGTGGCACGAGTTTGCTACACGGAGCAGGACGCGCATGTCTGTTTCGCCGTGTCGAGTCGTAAGCCGCAAACCGATCGAATCGAAGAGGCCATCCTTAGAAGACTCATGTATTCGTGGAAGAGACACGTTGAGAAAATAGGCAGGGAGAAGATTCGATGGTTTTGCGCGAGAAGCCGTATACAATTTGCAAATGATGCAAAACACGCGTTGCAGAAGGCTGATTTGGCAAACTTGGCGACCGAGAGGACACTCTTCGAGCATCGAAGGACGTCGCAGCTATTTCAGTAGAAACGCGGCATTAGAGCATCCTGTCATTTAAAGTACAATTTTAAGAATAGATCGGTTACACAAGTCGTTCCTATGAAAACAATTTTGTCATCCCGTTGTTATTCGATCTCGTATCAATCTTTTCTCGTTTCGCGCAACGATATTAAATTTATTAACCTATATATATATATATATATACTTAGTTGATTGTCATATACAGTTGATTAGCATTGAAATAGGATTTTAACAACCTGAATCTGAAATCTGTTAAGATTAATAGATTTTCTTAATTCTGTTGGAAGAAGGACAACAAGATTTCTTCCTCGTCATCTTTCATAAAGTTCCATTTATCCCCTGACGTTTCGATTAATAATAAATAAAAATGTCTAGACTAATAAAGAAGATGAATCGATAATTATATCCAAATATCTAGAGGGATTTTTCTCGTTTCATCCCCCCAATTTGTTCGATCTTATTATCGATATTAATAGAGGTAAGAATGATTCGTTAGTCTCGTTCGTTTACCTTCCTCCTTCCAAAGGGTTTGTAGTGCTCCCGCCTGGCTGGTCGTCGAAAATGCGCCATTTTCTTGCCCCGTGTATAGCGGCAAGGCCGTGAAAGAGCGGAGAACTCGCGTGTACCTTGCACTTCGCTCGGATAAACAGAGAAGGGTGAACAATCGGGTGAACGAGCACCGTTTACACGATCGCCTACGTGGATCAGCTTTCGTCAGCTTCGCGAGTCCATCGACTTCCGGCACGAGGCGCGTCTGGTCCTGGTTCTAAACCGCATTTATCACTGGCCGAGTGTCAGTCGCTTTATTCACTTCGCACACTGTCGCACGGGATCACGACTCCGTTTTTGGCTTTGATCGCGGAGGATGCATCGAGGATCGTTCTCGGCAAGATCTCGCCGATTTTTCTTTCTTTTTTCTTTTTTCTTTTTTCTTTTTTCTTTTTTTTTTTAAGTAGTCAACTGTACGGAAACGAGAAATAATTGTAGCGATAGGAACGATTAACAGGCTTGCTCGCGAAACGTCCGATCTTTGGACTCATGCCGAAAGGTGAACGCGATGGCTCGTGACGTGTTTCGGGTATATCGAACGCATAAATCTTTGGCCTTAACCTTGACTTTTGAACCCGAGATTTTACATTCGAAAGAAAGAAGAAGAATTTGGACAAGGAAGGAGATAGAAGAACATGTTCAATCTTTGTTACGACAGATTTTTCCCTCTTTACCTTTGGTGTTAATTATCTTATTATTAGATGGGATAGAATTATATATATAGAGCTTACGATTGAAATTAGACAAAGGTCTATACAATTACTTAAGCTCCTTAATTAACCTCCTTGTCTCGTTAATCGATCGATACGATACAATTGTCATGCACGATTGACACATAAGCTATTCTCGAGTCGTGTGCAATATATTATGCGTCCACTCGCTACGATCCAAACAAACGGAAGAGGACCTACCACTACGAGCTCAATGCATCCCACGCTCATTCATCCGTTTCTATCTACTCTAGACTACTTTCCCGACCGAACCATCGAACTTTCGCAGAGAATTTTCGTAGAGAATCGACTCCCCTCGACACTTTACGACTACACACTGCGTCCCCTTCACGAAGAAGTAGCCACGTAGTCACGTGTGTGCACCGGAGATGAAGAAAAACGCGAAGGAACAGGCGAAGAGAAACGTGATTTCTTTTTCCTTTCTTCTTCTTCTTCTTCTTCTTCTTCTTCTTCTTCTTCTTTTCGAACGAATTCACGTTGGTCGATTCGCGAGCGTGTTGGAAATTCTCGTTTCTGTTTTCATCTCGATGCCTCGATCAACAGCGACGAATGGACGCTGATCGGTGGAAACTGGGTACGAGACGAGGCCGGTTCGCTCGAGCGTGTGCTACTGGTGCGACGAGTAGCTTTTGGAACGCATCACGACCTCCTCCGCTATAAATAAAACGGTGGCCGCCACACCGAAAACTCTGCCAGCCAGCCGGAGAGTGCTCGAACCGTCGTAATTTTCCTCGTTCAACCGAGGAACACAAGGGGGAGAGGAATACCAGCCGGCCTGTACGCCGATTCCTAGCGAGACCGCGGTATGTGAATCAACCGTGTGGCCTTTGAGCGATACCCATCGACGCGATTCGCCGATGTGTGTATGCTTGGTATTACGGTCGCCGGTGTTTGGACAGCTATGGAAATAGAGGGGAACGGAGAAATTTTCCACCGACATTTTACGGGGATCAGAAAGATGTTTATACAATGGAAGAATCGAAAATAGTTGAGATAAATTAATATCAATGTCCTCTGTAATTCTGGTATCTTTGTGCGGGTGTTTTTAATTGTTTATCAGCATCAATTTTGAATTAATAGGTAGAATTAAGAGGGTTAAGAGGGTAGTTTTTATCGCGACGAAGATACAGAGTGAAGGTATGCAAAAGCGGAAGTGAGGGCCCAAGAATATCACGGAACTGCATAATTTATATATGTGAAATTTGTTACGGTCATTTTATATGACGTATATGAATATTATAAATGATTCCACAATGCAGATGTTGAATAGACTTGTCAGAATTGGCCACTTGATTCATCGCGAATTTTCTACCAATGGAATTTAGATCAGAAGAAGATTTGAGGCCAACGCGTAATTGTTGATTCATTACTTCCTTGTAACCCGTGCGAATAATTTTCTCGAAACATTTTCTACGAAAATTCGATGTCATCGTTTGCCACGGAATAGAATGCCGTGTTTCATTTACAACATTTACAAAGAGGCGTTCCTCTCGAAGAAAGGAAAACGGAAATGAAATTGCAACGCATGACCCTTCTAAGGTTCTGTCAACAATGGTCTATCAACAACTCGCTACGAACGAGATATAAAAGAAATATCGGAGTATGAAGGAGTTAGATGTCATAAAGATGAAGAGGCGTGAAGAAGATTGTGATGGAAGATTGGGAAAAGTTGGACGGCGTCTTATTGGAAGACCACAATTTCGATGAGTCGAACGGGACTAACGTCGGATACAAACGAGCATTGTAATCGATAAGTAGGTCTGGGTTGTGTCTAAGGTTGAATAAGGCTGGCGTGCCGCTAAAATTTGTCAAAAGGCTGAACAAGTAGCCTCACGCCAAGGCAAACAATCCCTGCAACGTCGTTGTTCTTAACGCTAGATCTACTAAAACTGTCAGAATGACGAGTTCCAGATTTTATATTTTTGTAATTATCACGTACAACGGCCGCCTTCGGGAAAATTAACGGCTGACTTTTATCGAGACGTGGGATATCTATTTATTTATTTACCCTCGCGTGTATCCTTGTGCTTTATTCTTCCCAATTTTCGCCTTTCTATTATAAATTCTACTTATTGCCCACTTTACTCTCACCCTCTCTGACAACGAAATTTATAGATCGCTACGTTTCTCGTGTAAGAATTTCTCGAGTCAACCGTCTAACCTATCTTGAGACATTCGTTTCGTAATCCTGTCAGGATCACGAAGACACGACCAACTTATATAAAGATCGTCTTTAGACCGGCGGAAAAAGAAAAGGATAAAAATATAATGTGGAATACCGAACCGGTGAATAATAAAAATTACACGGAATAATGAGTAATAGTTAAAATGGAATACGGAGTGCAACAAATTGGAATAGGTAATGCGATCTAAAAGTAAAAAAAAAAGAAAGCGGAGAAGAAAGTTTCGAGATTAACTTTCGAGAACTTTTTAAACTGATTCCGTGGAAACTATAAAACTAGGAGATATTTTTCCAAGATTTAAAATGCGATATTAAATTAAAATTCTTTGTCTAACTATCCACGTTTAAATTAAGAGGGGTGGAAATGCACCCTGTACAATTCTTTTCGATCAAGGATCAAGGATTTAATTGGGTCAGTCTTCTTGCTCGGAGATCGCCGATTTTCTTAATCGTCGTTAATTTTTTTGTTCATTCTTGCTCTTTCGAGCGAACGAATGCGTCTAGCGCAACCGGTTTCCACCTCCGTTTTTTTTTTTTTTTGCGAAACGTTTTGCCTCTCTGTCTACCGAAACTCCTTCGCGAAACGTCTGGAGGAAGTCAAAAAGACAGCGAAGAAATTGAATTATTTAAATCCGGATTCGGTACGCGAAGTTTATCGAGTGCTTGAACGTTTCTTCGTTTAAATGTCAGATCCTGTAGTCGCAGGCGAATCGCGCGATGGCGCCTTCAAGTTTCTGTGCCAACAGACGCCAGTCACCTTTGGCACTGTACGGATGTCTGGTCTTTGAAAAAATTCCTTTACGTGACAGGATGCTATTAGTCACATCATACTTCGACGTCAAAAAATTTCAATATCTTGGAAATATAATAAAATTTCATGGGAAATTTAAACGCGAGAGCATTCGCTTTGATCTCGAAGAAAATTTCGAGAAGATCAATACATTTTTTTGTTATCTCTCTATCGATTTCGAAAATTTATGAAATTTTAATAACATTTGGATCGAAGAAAATTGATTTTTTCGAAGGAGATAATCAGAAAAGAAGATCTGAACAAAATATAGTTGTGGAATAAAATAGATGTATTATTCGATGTCATATAATTTAGAGGCTACACGAGTCTCGTTATCATTCCAATGTCACATGCGATATTATCGAAGGAGACAAGAACTGGGATAAAAAAAGAATTATAATTGGAAATAACAACTTTGGATCGTTCTCAGTATTATAATTATAATTAATATGGAATATTGTTACTTATTTCACAAAAGAATCTGGCATAGTTACTTCGTATAATCTTCTAAGCAAAACTAAAAGGTACGAAGTTTTTACCATAGACAAGTGCAACCTAGATCTACCATCTTATGGAATTTTATGTATCATATTCTGAATTACCGATCGTGCAAGAAGATCTTGAAGTGCCCTCTACGATTTAGAGCCATAAATTTAGAATTTATATTCATTCTTATCATCATAAACTTGATAAATATAAAAATTAAAAAAAATTCGTTTCTTTAAATTCCAATATAAATATGTATTATTACATATTTAGAGTATATTCAAGTACATTTTAAATCTCTTCTAAGCGTAGAATTTTCTCTTACCGACATTCGATAAAGAAGATATAAAGGGTTATAAAAGATCGAACAGCCCGTCAGATGACTCAAAACTGAATACGAATTCACACGAATTTACATTGAATTTATTAAATATCTTACATTTATACTTTCCGTATAAATGTTACAACTATTATAGAAAACAAAGATGATGAAGCATAGAATTAACGAATCGATAAGATGGACGAAAACGAACGTGAAAATCAACTGGCACAAATCCGCAATTAATATTCTTTTTCGTCGCGAGTTTGCCGTTATTATTTCACGAATATTAAAGCGTTGGAAATCTCTGTTTCCCTAGAAAAAAAGAGATCTGAAAAAGCTATTAGCAGGATTGTCATCAGGCCGGAGGCTCTTTGAATAATCGTCTCTCGTTATTGTCTTCGAGCGGGAACGTCTGCCTCTGTGTCGGAAGAATCAATGCTTAAATGTACAGGCACCGAAAATCTGCTTGCTTCTCGACCGGATGAATTCACAGCATTTTTAAGCGGCGCTTACCGAAACGTTTTAATTATTCACTGGTTGCCGGCAACTCCGCCGCTATTTCCATAGTAATTACAATCGCTAACTTCTTCTTTCTGCCAGACATTTTTCACCGTTATCTGCTCATCGGATCTCCAACGATTTCTACGAATCGTTCCAATTGGACCCTATTCCTATCTATCTTCCATTCCATCGCCAGGCGAACCTCGCATTTAACAATTGAAAATTGAATCTTTCCGTAGTAGTCCGATAAAATCTGATTTAAAGGGGATTTATTTCAAATCAAAAATTTGCCTACTTGAAATATTAAAAATTCGAGTGAAAAAATATTCCAACCCCGAGTTCCAGAATTTTATTAAATAAATAACGAGGGGGACAAACACGCCCACGCAATTTTTTTAAACAATCAACCCTCATCTCGACGACAATAATTATTCGCCTCGGCAATTGCCAACGTTTTCCTCCGCAGGAAAACAAAAACGTTTCCCCTTTTATTTACAACTACTACGCGGTTAAGTTCCTCCGAATGCCACGCCGTGCGTCACGTTAAATTTCATTTTCGCACAGGCTACCCCCCACACGTTGTTTTCGTTCGCGACTCGCGGTTCGGTTGCATAATCGCAGTTGCCTCCGGGAATACGAGGCTTCGTCCAACTCTCGTCACGTCGAGGCGAAACGGTGCACAATTTAACATCTCTCCTCCTGGTGCATGTCCTCCAACCATCTCCTCTCCCCCTCTTTACCCACCTTTCAACCGATTCTTTAGCTCCGCTCAACAAAAAGGAGCACGAGCTCCGTCCTCCTCCTCCTCCTCCTCCTCCGAATACGAATACGAATACGAATACGAATACGAATACGAATATTTTTCCAGAGGCACGCGAGACACGATTCCCCCGATTCCGTGACACGGATCGCAGCTGCGACTCTGCACCGGCGGCAATAAACGAAGGTCGAGCCGTAAATTGTTCTCGATTGCGGCGAATTAGCGAGCGATCGCTATCGCCGGACCTAAAATTATTTCTTCCAAGCGCGATAATCACGATCGACGACGAATGCCAAGACGATCGAACAACCCCCTTCCCACGCCGCTCCCTCGTCGAGTCGAGAAGAAATTTTAAGAGTTCGGTCGCGATAGGAAAAGTTGCAGATCCGACGCAAACGGGGCGAGTCGAGACACGCGCGTGCATCGGTTGGAAGGTGAGTGGAGAGTGGGGAGCGCTCTTTGTGAGATTTGTTGAGCGCGATGAATTATAGATACAAAGTGGTCTCTCTGCAACGCGTATGGGAATGGAATTTTTTTCTATTGTTCATTCGTAATAATGAATTACGCTC